AGGGCCACAATTGTTTTTAAACACCTATTGTAAATTCTCTTGGGTATATATCTAGGAGTGGAATTGCTGGGTCATATGGTAATTTACATTTAGCTTTATTGAGGAACCAGCAAACAGAATTTTTAAAAAATATGTTTTTATTGATTTCAGAGAGAGGAAGGGAGAAGGAGAGATAGATAGAAACATAGATGAGAGAGAAACATTGATCAGCTGCCTCCTGACCAGGATCCAACCTGCGATCTCTCGGTGCATGGACAACGCTCAACCACCTGAGCCACACTGACCAGGCTAAACAGAATGTTTTCATTGACATTTTTATTGAGATCATTGTGGATTCCCCTGAAGTTGTAAGAAATAATGCAGAGATTCCATTGTACACTTTGCTCAGTCTTCCCCAATAAGGCTGCATTTTGCAAAATGAAATCAATATCTCCACCAGGATGTTGACATGGATCCCATCACCTACTTTATCCAGATTTCTGATTTCCCAGTTTTACTTGCTCTCTCCTCTCTCTCTCTCTCTCTCTCTCTCTCTCTCTCTCTCTCTCTCGTGTGTGTGTGTGTGTGTGTGTGTGTGTATTGTCTACAGTTGTATCAACTGAATAGGTTCCTGTATCCACCACCACAAGGACCCCTCCAGCTGCCCTGTTACAACCTCAGCCCCTCCCATCTCTAATCCCCTGGCAACCTCTCATCTGTTGTCATTTCAAACACGCTACATAAACGGAATCTTATGTTATGTGACCTTTGGACTTGTTTCTCTTGGCGTAGTTCCTTGGAGTCATCAGGATTTTAAAAACTCGGGGGGCCGGGGGGGCCAGGTTGACATACCTACATCCACCTGCCTTTTCTCCCAGCAGCTTATATCTTGAGGCAACCCACGTGCCTCAGGTTCCTCATCTGTTAAACCGAGAGAGGAAAGCCCTCAGTTCCCAGGCGAGTTCCGGGGCTTAGAGCAGATGGGGAAGCAGATGCCCGCAGGCAGGACCTGGCCCTGCGAGGCTTTGTGACATCACACCAGGTTGCTATGGCAGCAGCCCAAAAGCCGCCCAGGATGCTGCCGCCTTGGCCTCGCCTGGCTTGTTGGTGATTCGAGGAGGCATCTGTGTCACATGCTCCCACGGGCCAATGAGGAGATGGTCCAGAGACAGGGTTCAGCCGAAGCTTCAGAGGGAGGGCGGGGGTAAAGGTAGAATTAAATTAAGGCAAGTTTGTTCCTCATTCTTCAGAGTTAAAATGCCTTCCCTGGATTCCTTCCAAAAAAAAAAAAAAAAAAGGGGTTCTGGAGTTGGGATTCATTGCCATATCTTGAGGCTCCAACCTTTGTAAGCCCCCAAAACTAACAGCTTGACTTGGAGGTGCACAGTTCCCCTCTCTGAAGAGGGCATCGTGGGCATTTTGCCATCTCTTGACGTTCTCATACCTAGAAATAAGAGTCAGCCTGGGAGGTTTCAAAATTAATATATTCTGTGGTTGGTTTATAAACCGTCGTTGTGGGCGATTCTCACAGATTGTTGCTGTTCCTACGCCCACGAACAGATGGGAACAAACACCCTAGGTAGGTCATTTTGCAAGACAGGCGGTTAAATTGCTGACGATGTTTTGTCATTTTCTCCCCTGAAACCAATGTTTTGGGCAGAAATGGGGCTGGGTCATCTGCCTGTTTGGGCAAGCGCATTAGTACCCCATTGCTGGGTAACGAGTCACCCCAAAACAAAGTGACTTGAAACAACAAGAAACACATTTTATTTTCATAACGTGTGTGGGTCAGGAATTCAGAAGTAATTTGGCTCAGTGGTTCTGGCTCAGGGTCTTTCATGAGGTTGCGGCCAGGATGTCAGCCAGGGCTGCCTCACCGGACGGCCTGGCTGGGCCTGGAGGAGTCGCTTCCAGGACGGCTCCCTCGTGTTGCTGCTGGTGACGGGCTCCGCGCCTCTCCACGTGGGCCCCTCCACGGAGCTCCTTGCATGTCCGCACAGCGTGGCAACTGGCTCCCCACAGAGTAAGTGGTCCGAGAGAGAGAGGGCTGGAAGCCTCCCATCTTGTATGACCTAGTTAGTCTCAGAAGTCACAGACTCACTGCTGAAATCCTATGGGTTCCACAGGCAGCCCAACTCAGCGTGGAGGGGACTGCACAAGGAAGCAGACAGGGCCACCCTGGAGGCTGCCCACCGTGGTGGCATTTTCACACAAAAGACCATCTGTTGATTCGAAACACACCACAGGCCCTAACCGGTTTGGCTCAGTGGATAGAGCATCGGCCTGCGGACTCAAGGGTCCCAGGTTCGATTCCGGTCAAGGGCATGTACCTTGGTTGTGGGCACATCCCCAGTGGGGAGTGTGCAGGAGGCAGCTGATCGATGTTTCTCTCTCATCGATGTTTCTAACTCTCTATCCCTCTCCCTTCCTCTCTGTAAAAAATCAATAAAATACATTTTAAAAAATAAATAAATCAAAACACACCACAGCCCTAACCGGTTTGGCTCAGTGGATAGAGCGTTGGCCTGCAGACTGAAGGGTCCCAGGTTTGATTCCGGTCAAGGGCATGTACCTTGGTTGCGGGTACATCCTCCGTAGGGGGTGTGCAGGAGGCAGCTGATCGATGTTTCTCTCTCATCGATGTTTCTAACTCTCTATCCCTCTCCCATCCTCTCTGTAAAAAAAATCAATAAAATATATTTTTTAAAAAGAAGGAAGGAAAGGACAAATAGTGTTTCACACCACAAAGCAATCTTTAAAAAAAAGAAGAAACTCACCACCGCAAACCAAGATGATGATGGGATGTCGGCATCCACGCCCCCGGCCACACCCCACTCTAGGTCCAGGAGTCTTGGGGGAGAACATGTGACCAAGGCCTGGCCGATAAGTTTCAACATGGAGAAAGTGTGGAGGTGGTTGCTTGTCCACTGGGTTTGCTGGAGAGCATGGCAGCCCGTGCCAGGGGTCGTCTTTGTCACTGTGCTACAAGAGCCAAAACACAGGATAGTAGAGCAAGAGATGGAGGAAAAGTGAGGGACAGGAAGAGAGAGGCCGGGGTAAGGCCTTACTCATCTGAGCCCACCTTCCAGCCTTGCCTGCAACCATTCCTTCTTCTGAACATTTCAGTGTCAAAAGCCAATCCTTTATGTTGCTCAAAACAATTAGGAGGGCCCTAACTGGTTTGGCTCAGCGGATAGAGCATTGGCCTGCGGACTCAAGGGTCCCAGGTTTGATTCCGGTCAAGGGCATGTACCTTGGTTACGGGCACATCCCCAGTAGGGGGCGTGCAAGAGGCAGCTGATCGATGTTTCTCTCTCATCGATGTTTCTAACTCTCTATCCCTCTCCCCTCCTCTCTGTAAAAAATCAAATATATTTAAAAAAAAACAATTAGGAGGGTGGTTTCTGTCATTCGTAACACGATGCCATCAACAGATGAACAAATAAATTAAACACGCTGGAATGTTACTCAGCCGTACAAGGAGTGAAGCACCAGCGCTCGCCACAACGTGGATGGGCCTTGAGCCCACGATGCCCACCGAGAGAAGCCAGACACAAAAGGCCACCGAGTGTGTGGATTCCATTCATGTGAAACCCCCAGAGACAGAGAGCGGATTAGTGGTTGTCAGGGGCTGGGGGAGGGGGGGTGTTCCGAGGTGATAGAAATGTTTTGGAATTAGAGGTGGTGGTCCCACCGCACCGTGAATGCACGCATTGCCACCACGTTGTACACATTAAAATAACCGCGTGCCATGTGATTTGCACATTAATAGTAATTTAAAAAGAGAGAAAGGTCATGATGCCCCGCCCGGCGTTGCCTCTCCCTTCTGCTGGCTCCTCTCCCACCCACACCCGGTTCATCCCAGGTTCTCCAGGGAATCCTCCAGTTTCTACCCCCACTTTTAAGCAGAACAGCTCCTCTTCCCACGGCTGGCCACACCAAGGCATTTGACCTCCCCTGACCGATCCCACCAGTTCCCTCCATTTCCTCGTCCCGAAATGTCAGCTGTTCTTCAGCCCCTCCTTCCATTAAAAGAAGTAAGGGGAACCTTTACATGCAAATGGAGAAATACCTCCAGGCACATGGTTGAGGGGAAAGCCAGGACGCACTGATGGTTTAATTCTTTTCTACAGGAACATAAATGTATGTCAATGGATAGAAAGAAAGAAAAAAAACACAAAAAAAAACCAGGACCCTCTCCAGGAAGCACCTCGCCCCAAAGCTAAGTTACCGCAGGTGACAGCTGTGCCTCATGGGTCACCATCTTTCCAGTCCCCAACATCCATTTTCTCACGGCCTGTCCATGAAGCAAATGTCCTATATTTTAGATTTTTGGTCATTTTGTTTTTTAAAAAATATTTTTTTATTGATTTCAGAGAGGAATGGAGAGGGAGAGAGAGATAGGGACATCAGTGATGAGAGAGAATCATTGATCGGTTGCCTCCTGCACGCCCCACACTGGAGTCACATGCGGCTCTTTAGCCCCTTGAGTGTGGCTCTTCCTAAGCCTTAGGAGTACCCTAATTAAGTTAATAACAATGTACCTACCTATATAGTTTAAGTTTAAAAAATTTGGCTCTCAAAAGAAATTTCAATCGTTGCACTATTGATATTTGGCTCTGTTGACTAATGAGTTTGCCGACCACTGCTCTATCCACTGAGCCAAACTGGCTAGGGCTATTTTTGGTCATTTTAGAACACCTCTCAGGTCCTAACTTCCGGGTGGGTGACATTCTGGCCCACCTGTCTGCCACACGAACAGTGGGCTCGGATCACGCTGGGTCTGAGTACTGCCTCCCTGAGGCTCCTCAAACTGCCCCAAGGAGAGTCAGACAGCAGGCTACAGGGGCCAGTCTCATTTTCCTTTTAATATATTTTTATTGATTTCAGAGAGAGGAAGAAAGAGAAACGTGCTGAGAGAGAATCATTGATTGGCTGCCTCCTGCACTGCCCCCTACTGGGGATCGAGTCAGCAACCCCAGCATGTGCCCTGATGGGGAATTGAACCCTGACCTCCTGATTCATGGGTCAATGCTCAACCACTGAGCCACATCGGCCAGAGCAAGTTTTCTTTAATGAAAAAAAAAGAACAAAGCTGAACAAAAGTCTGGGTTGAACAGTCATACCATGAGGCAAAGACTCCCCACCTCCCAGGCACCTGCCAGCATCCCCAGCTGCCCCCAAGGCCATCCCCTCTGGAGGAACAGAAACAAAAATGGAGCCTGGGTCCCTGGCATCAACATGCAGAGGCCCCCTCTGCCCCCCGGGGGTGCTAGATGCTCCGCAGCATGCAGAGAGCGCGATGCAGGTACTGGCGAGCGGCGGGGGGACAGCCGTGGCTCTGCAGGATCCCCAGCGTGTAAGAGGCGCCAACCTGGCCCCGTTCCCAGACCATGAGCAGCAACTCTTCAGGCCCCCGATTCAGCACCAGGTGAACCTGGTCTCCCCTGCAGCTGACCTGCCAAAGTAAGAGCCGAGGTCAAGGAGAGGAGGGTGCCCCCGGGGCTGCCCCAGGTGTGCCCCGCCCCCCAGAGAGAAGAAAAGTGGATCAGAGACTGAAAGCCCCCTGACCTGGGTCTCAGCGGCTGCCCCACTCCGAGGAACGCACAGAGTTGGGAGCCCAGAGTTTTATGTACAGACGAGGAAACTGAGTTCAGATAGGACCTCCCTGCCCTCGGTCACCCAGGGAGACCTCCGTTCTCAATCCTGTGACCTGGGGAGCCCCAGTCCAACGACCAGTTTCCCCAAGTGTTCTGCGGAGCCATGAAGGCCATTCTCGCTACCGGAGGCCCAGCCCAGCTCAGGGCATTACCCACACTCTAGTCTGGACAGCTAGGGTTGTTTTTACTGCTGTAAATTTTTAAAAAATACTTTAAAAATAATAATAATGAGCCCTGAACGAGTAGCTCGGTTGGTGAGATCATTGTCCTGATGCACCGAGGTTGCAGGCTCAATCCCTGGTCATGCAAGGATCAACCAATGAACGCATGAGCAAGTGGGCCAGCACGTCGCCAGGACTGCTCAGGGAAAGCTCAACCTAAAAATGATTTTCCGCTCAGCCAGGGCAGCTCAGCGGTTGAGCGTAGCGTCAACCTATGAACCAGGAAGGTCGTGGTTCGATTCTGGTCAGGGCACGTGAATCAATGTGGGTTCAATGCCCAGTGGGGGGCACGCAGGAGGCAGCAGATTGATGATTCTCTCTCATCACTGATGTTTCTCTCTCCCTCCCTCCCTTCCTCTCTGAAATCAATTTAAAAAATAGTTTTAAAAAGTTTTTTCCAAGGAAATGACTTTTTAAAAAATCCTCACCCAAGGATATGGTTTCCCCTTTTCTTTAGAGAGAGAGGGGGGAGAGAGAGAGAGAGTGAGAGAAACATAGATGTGAGAGACAAACATCAACTGGTTGCCTCCCGTACAGGCTGGGATGGGGGGTGGAAACTGGTGCACAGGACGACTCCCGAACCCGCTGAGCCAGCCGGCCAGGAGGGAAATGACATTTGACAGCTGCTCAATGTAACCGCTCACGAAGATGACCCAAATTCCATTTTGCCGTTACTTAAACACATCTTCTTTTCTTCCTTTTCTTTTTTTAACACATTTTTTTTCAATCTTGCAGTTTTTGCACTCAGGAGCCAATACTTTGCTCCCCCTGCAGGAGCCAGCTGTTTCCTGGAGCCCCCGAACAGTGTGCATTGGGACAGCCAGCGCGGTCCAGGGGACAGGCCGCCCCCACCTGCTGCCCCCCACCCCGGGGCTCCTGGAGAGAAGGGCCCGCGCTCACCTGCACTGTGCCGTCGCTGAAGAGCAGCAGCAGGGCCTGCTGGGATGCAAGGAAGCGCAGCAGGCAGAGGCCGGGGCTGGCAGACTGGGTGGGCGCAGGCAGGCCCTCTTCCTGAGGACAGACCCAGCCACGAGGGTCTTAGGCCTCTCCACCTGCCAGTCCCACTGCGCCCCCCGGCCCACTGGCCTCCCAGCCCTCACCTCTCGAAGCCGCTGCTGCATGTAGCCAGCAAAGAGTCGCAGGACAGCCAGCTTGGCACCCAGTGAGCTGGGCACATCCCTCAGGGCAAACACTTCCAGCTTCCCTCGGTCAGGCATGTAGCTGACCTGGCTGAGGGTGGGGCACAGGGGGTGTCAGCGGTCCCGGCCTCTGTCCGGGGACACATCCCCACCCAGCCACGCCCCCTTGGATGGTGGCTTTGAAACTCAGTGCCACACGGACCACCCCTCTCTGTGGGTCCGGCCCCAGCCCCTTCTCAACTCCAGACTCTGGAACCATGGATGCAGCCTGTCCACTGAGATCCCGATTGGCCCCCCCACACACCCTCCTGCCATCTTCCCGTCTCGCCCAGGGGCTGCTCCGTCCTCCCTGTCTGCCAGCTCAGTCGAGATCCCAGCTCCCTCGCATCTCGGCTCTGCCACCTCCCGGCCAAGTCACTGCCATGGCCCAGCCGACCAGTCCACCACCTCCCTGCTGGTCCCCTGTGTCCCTGCCGCCAGAGGTCTTGTCAAAAGTGAGAGGCGGGCTCTGACTGGTTTGGCTCAGCGGATAGAGCATCGGCCTTCAGATTGAAGGGTCCCAGGTTCGATTCCAGTCAAGGGCATGTGCCTGGGTTGCGGGCACATCCCCAGTGGGGGGCGTGCAAGAGGCAGCTGAATCGATGTTTCTCTCTCATCGATGTTTCTAACTCTGTATCCCTCTCCCTCTCCCTTCCTCTCTGTAAAAAATCAATAAAATATATTTTTTTTAAAAAAGTGTGAGGCGGGTCCCTGCTTCCTGCCCCAACCCCAGCAGTGGCCTCCCAGGCCGCTGACTTCGCATCCCCCCATCTCCCCCTCACTCACTGTGGAGCCCCCACTGTTCCTGACACCCACTCTGCTGGGTCACACATGCTGTTCCCTGTACCTCAAATGCTGGTCCCAAAGGCTCCATTGCACCATCCGTCCTACCCGGATGTCACCTCTTCAGAAAGCCCCTCACAAGCATGCTGGCATGAGCCACCCCCAATCTGTCACCTCACCCAGTCATTTCCTTCAGAAAAGTGCTACCTGAAATCGACTTATCCATTTGTTTACCGTCGTTCTTCCCTAGCAGGCAGCGAGTCCCTGCCGGTGTACACAGTAGGTACTCACATACTTGAGGAATGGATGCAGAAAGGCAGGGGGAGAACCTGGCCCCCCAAGGGGACAGGAGCCCCATGGCTTACCCCCCGGGGGGACGCAGGGCCATGTGGGTGCCATCCCGAAACAAGACACCGCTGCTCCCGTCCAACAGCTGGTAGCCGAAGCCGTACTTGCTGGAATAATCCACCCACTTGGGGGCCCAGAGGACGGGCCACTGCTCTCTCGGGGGGTCCTGCGTGACTGGGCACAAAGGCGAGGTGAACTGAGTGGGAGGTGCTGGTGGGGCCTGGGCGGAGGGACCGCAGACACCCCGGAGATGTTGAGAAACGTCCAAAAAATAAAAAACCAGCTCTTGCCTTTGTGGGGGGAGGACTGGGACGCGGGGAACACCCACCGCCTCTGGGGATGAGTGATTCTGAAACGCCTGCAATGCCCCAAATACCGTAAGGCTTTACTTTACTTGATTAAAATATTTGTCTTAAAAATAAACATTGCTCAGTGCCATGTGGGGCCCTGTATTGGATCCTGGGGGAGGAAAGAGTCGTTACGGGGGAAATGGGACATCCAGTCGCCAAGGGCAGACAAAGTTCCGTGCTGTCTTGGTAGCGTCTCTGAAAAGTTACCTCGAATTCTCTTTTACTGTTCATTTAAAACTGAAAGTAAAGTTGGCTCCAGCTTGGCCAGCGTGGCTCAGTGGTTGAGCGTCGACCTGTGAACCAGGAGGTCACGGTTCAATTCCCAGTCAGGGCACATACCTGGGTTGCGGGCTCGATCCCCAGTAGGGGGCGTGCAGGAGGCAGCCAATTGATGATTCTTTCTCTCTCTCTCTCTTTCTCTCCCCTCTTCTTTGGAATATATATATAT